TCGTTGAAGACCACCATCGTTGAAGATTTGCTTTACTAACTGATACGTGATACGTGGGTTCTGCATTGTGATTTCATTCGTTCACTTGACCCAGTAAGTATATCTCTCTCTTTGCAATTTAGGAGGAGTTAATTGATACTTGATATTGTATAAATTTTGGTCATTTTCAATTGATTCAATTGAAAAAGTTGATCTCTCAGGTACGCAAGAAACAAAATATTTCTCTTCTCTAAATTAACAAAATATTTCTCTTCTCTAAATTTCCTCGCCTCTATTTCTTGCTTTGTTCTCTGCTCCGTTTCGTCAAATCCTAGGTCTGGTTTTAGATGATTTTAAGTTGATTATCAAGTAATTACCGAACACAATTCTGTGACATTTTAGATTTGAGGTTTTTTTTTTTCTACGGTTCCTTTGTTCATTTATCTTCTTGATGCTCACGGTTTTCTTTGCTGCTTTTGTGAATATATGTGGTTGTTGATTTGGTCTATTCTTTTTTTCAAACCAGATTCATATGAATCATATTAAATTGATGTAAGAATAAAAATTCAGCATCATTCATTGTCAATGGAAGTAGTTTTATACTAATATAAAGATGTCATATCAGATGAAAGAGTAAAATCTCTTGGTAGCTTCTTAATCCAACACAAAAAAATCATATTTAAAGAGCTTTAATCTAACCAATAAGGTTTTAGAATCTGACAATCAGAGGTGAAATTTTTATTTATTTATTATTTTTTTTTGTAATTTCCAATAGAGGTGAAATTTTTACTTATTTAGAGAAAAAAATGTTTTTTAAGCTGCGTTTCTGTTCTATTAGTGTGCTATCCGGAGGATGTGATTCATATGGGTATCCATATGATTCAAGTTTATAAACTTTTGTGGAAAAATATATCAAATGGTGTGTTTCACACAATGCATTCCATGATTATTTACATTGTGAAGATTGTTAGGGACTTGTGTGGATTGCCATTCTGAGTCAGCAATGGCATTCATTTAGTTTATTTTCATATAAATGTAGTTCCCCTCTTTCATTATCACTGCATATACCCGGCCCAGCCTCTTGGGATTTTAGCTATTATCGTGTGTATCATTCGAGATTTAATTCATTTTAAATGTCATACAATTGTCTATAGCTTTTGATTTATCTTTCTCTTTTTAGGAAATTTTTTTTTTTGAACTTCATTCTTTTATCTTATCTTGATTTGCATGGAGAACTGTGATTTAGTTTCTTAGTCACCTCTATTTCTTCCTTTACTGTTGTTTGCCATGTGGCGAATTGATCTTCCTCGACTTTTTTTAATTTTTTTTATTTTCATGGTATTGACACGAATAATGGTTCTCATAAGTTAAAGTTTTGTTCTTCAGTTCAGGTTAGTTGAAATATGGACAAGAGTTGGATTGATTTACCAAATGGAGTCTCAACAGAATACATGAATGGGGTTGATCAATTCCTCAATTTTGCATACAGTAATAAGGTAGAAGGTTCAACAATCAATTGTCCTTGTAAAAAATGTGTAAATCGCTTCTTTTTTCCACGAGAGATTGTGCGTAACCATTTGGGTTACTATGGCTTCTTAAAGAAGTATAAGAATTGGATTCACCATGGAGAACCCTACATGTCTTTGTATGGTAACCAGGAAAATGAAAGTTATGTTGATTTAGATGTCGGGGACAATATGGTTGAAATGATACATGAGGCGATAGGAATTGCAAATGTAGGTGAAAATGCTGATTATGATGAACCACCTACAAATGGTCCCCAGTTAGGGGCTAATGAAAAAACAAGAAAGTATTTTAAACTTCTAGAGGAAGTAGAAAGTGAATTGTATCTGGGGTGTAAAAATTTTACGACATTGTTGTTTATCGTTCAACTTCTACATATGAAAGTGCTTAATGGATGGACAGATAAATCTGTTACGATGTTGTTTCAGTTCTTGTTTGAGCTTTTGCCTAAGGGAGCAAAAATTCCTAATTCATACTATGAAGCCAGAAAAGTAACTGATGACTTGGGCTTTACGTATAAGACGTGGGATGCATGCCCTAACAGTTGTATGTTGTTTAGAAATGAGGATGAAGGACGTGATGAGTGTGATATATGTAACACTTCTAGATGGAAACATCAAAAAGGTAATTCTAGTATCGACACCACCAAAGGTAAACGAATAGCTGCAAAACAAGTGAAATATTTTCCTTTGAAGCCAAGACTACAAAGACTATTTATGTCATCAAAAACCTCTTCACTCATGAGATGGCATGTTGAGGGACGAACTGATGACGGTGTATTAAGGCAACCTTGCTGATTCTCTGGCATGGAAAACTTCAATTTGAAAAACCCAATGTTTGGTAGTGATAGTCGGAATGTCATGCTTGGGTTAGCAACCGATGGATTTAATCCATTTAGGTCCACGAATATTGTTCATAGCACTTGGCCCGTCATATTGATTCCGTACAACTTACCACCATAGTTATGCATGAAACAACCATTTCTTATTCTATTGGTGTTTATTGATGGGCCTAAAGGACCTGGCAACAAGATTGATGTATATTTGCAACCATTAATTGAGGAGTTGAAGGAATTATGGGAAAATGGTATTCATACGTTTGATGCATCAAGCAATCAAATGTTTCAAATGCATGCAACATTGTTATGGACAATTAGTGATTTCCCTGCATATGCCAACTTGTCAGGGTGGAGTACGAAGGGTGAATATGCATGTCCATCTTGTAATACGAAACCTCGGTCTTATTGGTTGAAGCATTGTAGAAAGTATTCTTATATAGGTCACCATCGATGGTTACCTTATGGCCACAAATTTCGAAAGATCAAAGATTCGTTTGATGGCACACGAGAGTATGGATGCAAGCCTACTACTTTGTCTGGAACCGAGCTGTTGCTACAGTTAGAATCAGAACATATTTTGACTGAATACAAAAGGGATGATCTTATGGAAAGGAAAAACAACGTAGTACATAGGGATAAAACCAGGTCTAAAAAACATGATTGGAAGAAAAAGAGTATTTTCTTTGAGCTGCCATATTGGAAACATAATTTAATCAGGCACAACCTGGATGTGATGCATATAGAAAAGAATGTTTGTGACAATCTATTATGGACAATACTAGGAGTGGTGGGAATATCTAAGGACCATCAAAATGCACGTCGTGATCTACAAGAGATGGATATTAGAAGACTGTTACATCCACAATCTAGAGGTTCTGGTAAAGAGTATTTGCCTCCTGCACAATTTGCAATGAATAAGGATAAGAAATATAATTTTTGCAAAGTTTTAAAGAATGTTAGAGTACTAGATGGATATGCATCAAATATTTCACATCATGTAAATATGAATGAGCGAAGTATTTGGGGTCTTAAAAGTCACGACAATCATATTCTAATGCAACAACTTATTCCTCTGGCTATATGCAAATCATTGCCTAAGAATGTGGTTCAACCTATAATTGAATTGTGTAATTTATTTAGCAAATTATGCTCGAAGGTGAACCGTGCTTCAGATCTGGAATATGTTCAGGACCGTATCGTGCTTACACTTTGTCATCTTGAGAAAATCTTTCCACCATCCTTCTTTGATATAATGGAGCATTTACCTATACATTTAACTGATGAAGCATTGATTGCTGGAGCAGTACAGTTTCGATGGATATATCCCATTGAAAGGTGTGTTACTTCCTTATGCAAAGGGTTTATCAAACTTTCTATGTAATTTTAGTTTTATCTTAAATTTCAATTATAGTGTACTTATACTTGTTCGTCTAGGTATCTTCTTACTCTGAAACAATATGTGCGTAATCGCGCTCATCCTGAGGGCTCAATAGCTAAAGGTTACTTGATGGAAGAATGCATGAGTTTTTGTGTAAGATATCTTGATGATGTGGAAACCAAGTCTATCCGACCACTGAGGAACTATGATGGTGGTGAAGTTTTAGGTCGTAGTGTGGGGAAGAGCCTTCAAATTCACCTTGATAATGTAACATGGACACAGACTCATCGATGTTCTATTCAATACCAGACTCAGTCGCACCATTCATAAAGTAAGTTAAATATCACCCAAATTCTTGAGCTAGAGTTTTTGAACCATTTATGCAATTTACACATAACTATTGAACTATACAGTGACCACCTTGAACTCCTTCGAAACCAAATGCCTCGTGCGGATGACCACCAAATTCGGCGCAAGCACGTGGAAACATTTCACACATGGTTTATGGAACATGTATTATATATATAATAATACATATGATTTATGTTTTTTAACTTTATATTTTTGTTGCCCTTTAATTTTAAATAATTGTGTAACACAAGTACAGGTGCAAACTATGCGAAGATCAAGTAATGACAATTACTCAGATGAAATCAATATATTGGTTGATGGTCCCCATTACTCAGCATGGAGATATAAAGCATATATTATCAATGGGTTTCGGTTTCGGGTTAAGGACATGGATAATCGTCGAAGTACTCAAAATAGTGGTGTGACCTTAAAGGCGGATACTGTCAGTTATGCTAGTCGAAAAGACAACAACCCTCGTGTGGGTGTTGTATCATACTATGGAGTCTTAAGCGACATTATCAAAATTCAGTACATGAATGATTTGAAATATGTGCTCTTTAAGTGTGATTGGATTGATAACAATGTAGGGAAGAAGGAAGATGACTTTAATTTTACATTAGTAAACTTCAAGCATTTATTGTATCAAGACGATCGGTTGAAAAATGAACCTTTAATCTTAGCATCCCAAGCTGAACAAGTTTGGTATGTTGAAGACCTTTTAGAACCCAATTGGCATGTTGCTGTGAAGATGTCTCAGAGGGATTTGTTTGATATGCAATCTAATAAAGCTCAATCAGAACCTTATAACCGTCAAGAATTAGATGAAAATGTAATGCTTCATGGTGATGATGTTGGCTGGGTGAGGCAGGAAGTAGAAGGAACAACATGTACCTTAAATAATGTTGTTCTAGGGGATGTCCAAATGGATGCATGTCAGCATGGTTGATGTTCTTTGATATGCATATAGAGGCATTTGTTTCATATTATTCTGAAGAAATAAGAGGTATTTTTGAAAGATTTTTTTTAACTATTATTTTTCAAAGAATGATACTAATATGTGCATGTCTTGTTTACAGATATGTCAAAGAGAAAAGGAAGTACTATATCTGAAATATTGCGTGTGCATACATCATCTAACACTATGCATAAGCATTCACAACCCTCATCACAAGCAATATCTTCCAGGTCATTGTCACACGTACAATTTTCCCGGCCATCGTCAGATAGACAGTTAGGTGTATGTATAAGATAGTTTAATATTTTAATATTAGTATGTTATATATTTGTCAACTTTTAATAATTGATTATCTTTATTTGGAATAGGCACAAGTGACACAATATCGACTAAGAGAGGTCGAGGTCCAGCTAAGGGTCTAAGGAATGGGGAACTGGAGTGAGACTTGAGGTTGAGTTTGATTCCAAGTTTCAGCCAATAGGTAAGAATGCAAAATGGCTAAAGTCAGCGTTGGGAAATATAGTACACAATGGGCATAGAGTTCCTCTCACTTATATCGATTGAGTTTCAATACCTGTTGATATACTTGATACAATTTGGAAAGAAGTGGAGGTATAAATTTAACTCATCAAAATTTTATTTTTCAAACCAAAAAAAAAAACGGAATGATGACCTCAATTATATGCTAATTTCTTAGCACATAATTTTAGGATAACTTGACATATTCTCCTCCTGGTTATAAACCAGTCTGCTTGAAGGCATGTGGTAATTGGAGAGATCAAAAACATCGAGTGAAGATAAATTTCTATGAACCCCACAAGAATGATGAGAATCTTAAATCATTAGTTCCAATTGATATTGTGCCGGAGCAATGGGCAGATTTAGTACAGTATTGGGCGAGTGATGTAGCAAAGGCATGAGAATGAATTTATATCATTGCCTATATGTGGAATATTGACTTTGACTAATGTTTGTTGTTATAGGAAATAGCAGATTGAAATTCAAAAAATAGAGAACTACAAGGCCCGGTTCATAGGTGTGGGCGAACATACTTCCCCGAGTTACGTAGAGAGGTAAATGATTATCAAAATTAATATATTTTGATATGTATTGTTTTGTTTACATTTGATAATGAACCCAAACTTTGATATTTGTTGAGGTTTGCAGATGGAACAAAATGGAGAGAGGACTAATAAAATGAGCATATACATTAAATCACGCACTAAGAATGGTGTTCCGTGTGACCATGACGTGGCGCAAGTCATTGTATCACATTCTTATAATTTAGTTTTTGAGTTTTTAATAATTTTTTTAATGTTTTAAATCTATAATTATTGACTATCTCAAATTATAGGCTAAATTTGATGCGCAACTTTCTCAATATGATGAGTCAGACCGTACACCAGCTCTTCGGGATCAAATTTTCCACAAGTTGTTTGGAGAAGATGGACATGGATACTGCAAGACCTACGGTACTAGTGTGCCTCGAAGTTTAGTATACCAAAAAGACACAAGCTCATCCGATACACCAAATTCTGCTTTCATTGAGAAAATATGTCATGTTGTGTGTGAAAAATTAGAGCCGCAAATTAAAGCTGAATTTGACAAGGTTCATGCAAGGATTGGTTTGTTGGAATCACAAGCCGATAGTGTAAGTGGATCTAGGGTTAATGCCAATCAGGTGGTATATAAGAAATGTTATATTTTTATTTGATCAACTTTAAACTCTATGTATATGATATTTTAATATGTGGTACAACATGTCTTATAGGTTCCAGACACGTCTAGTGCACATCAGTTGTTGAGGGAGTTGGATGAAGAAATACCTCCACGGTCAATTGAGAAGTCGTCCATACCATCTCCATCTACCTTGCCTTCTAATGAGGTGAAATGTATTTGAATTTTTTGTATTTGACATTTGATTAATTTGTTAGGTTTGAGTGTATTATTAAAAGTATGAATAGTAATTTTAGCTTTGAGTGTGTAGTAAATGGCTTCATAAATGGATGAAGGGTGTGTAAAGTTTCAACTTTGGGTAAAAGGACTATGTTGTTTTTTCGGGGAATTGACATAAGTGAGTTTGTGAGCAATTGTGAATGCAGTTTATATAATGCTTGTTGTATCATTCTTTCTAATGCATTTCACAAGGTCCCGCTAGTGAAAGACTTATCTAATGTTGTGAAAATGTTATACAGATGCACACTACTAAAAATAATAGAGGAAAGAAGGTTCTTGAAGAAGTTAGTCTACATATATATTTATTTTGTATACCATATGACGTATTGCAATTGTTATGAATAACCATGCATTAGACATTTTAAATAACAATTGTTGTTTTGATTGCATTGTGCATATTATTGTAGGTTGGAAGTAAAGTAGGTTTGTTAAGTTCCAAAATTCCAAAGTACATAATAGTAGAGGATATTCTTGTTAGTACAGACCCATTGGCCGAAATGAATGGAATACACTTGGGATCAAATTTTTTGAAAGTATTTATTGAAAAGGCAATTGAGAGTAATGCATGTTTGACAAGACCTCATCAAGGAGTCAAAAACAATTGGGAATGTTGTTCAACGAAATGTTGCTTGGCCATCTATTGATGTATGTTCAACTTCTTTTAATTTTTTAATACATATATGCATGTTTTTTTCCTATGTTGTAGTGGTATTATAATAACAAAAGTTTTATTTATTTTTTCAGGTACTATTGAAATGGTAGGAGATTTGCAGAAGAGTTATGGAAGACCTTAGGATTTTTTCTAACATTTTTATTATAAGCATATGTGGATACGACATTGAACATTTTGTTTTAATTTTATCTTTTTTATCTGTACTTGGAGAATTAACATTATACTTGGTATATTTTAAACTGTTTTGTCTAATTGATGATTTGTTTATGTATATATATAAACATATTTGTACTTGGTGTTTAGATTTATATGTTAATGGAATTTTATGTGGAATTATTTGACTATGATAAGTCTTTTTGATTTGTGTGATGTAATATACAGGGTTGAAATTGATAATATAAAAAAAAATTTAAAAAATTGACATTTTTTTTTCGGCGGCATTATTGTCGTTACAATTGTATTTTTTCAACAAATACATAACATTTGTGATGTGAAACACTTTTTGTGGCACTGCCTATTGCGGCTACAAAATGCCGCCGCAAAGCTGTTGCAAAAAATATTTGTGACAGCAAATATATTTTTTGCACCAGTTTTTTGTCGTCACAAAAAATATATATTCTTGTAGTGTCATATGTAAAGGGCTTACAATTTAAAGGCATGGAGTCTTAGTAGAAGCAGTGGTGTGAAGAGATAGGTGACTTGTTCTTCGGAGTAGATAGCTACAACTAAAGATAGGTACAATTAAAGATAGATGTGATCTTTGAGAGCAGTTATCGCGGTAATTACTCTCCACTTGCACTAATCTTTTTGAATCCCTTGAACTTTTGATTAAACCGAATCTATGAGCTGGATTTGACTTGTCTTTTAATTGATTTGGGCTTACTCATATATTGGGCTTGATCCAGGTGGACTTGTCCTTATCCACTATATTAGGATTATTCATCCAATTACTTTCCAGATATTTTTCTGTATTCTTCTTATGAATTCAAGTTTGCTTTATACACAAAGAAACACTAATTTCTTTATGTATCCATAATTGTTGCGCCTGTCTTCTTATTCCAAGGCAAATTGGTGCTACAAGGAGCCCATTTTTTGCTTTACGTTTCTGGAGCATGAGGTAATACTTAAACGAAATCCTTTTCTTGCTGAGAGAATTTCTTTCTACCATGGGAAGATTGCCAGTTGCAAGATCTTGCCGAAATTTAGACGCCTGCACAGTTACAAATAATTTATCATCTTTATAGTTGTTATAGTTGTTCTTTATTTCAGCATTCTTCATGGGAACTACAGATCCTATTTGGAATAATATCATTTGTGAATCCGAACTGAAAAGTAGTCAAACTTTTCGTTCTAACGCAATTGACCACTATAACTAACTTCTCTTTGAGCACCTTTGGTTTAGAAAGGAACCTTACGGGTCAAGTTTAAGCTTCCACGTTGCCCTTTGCCATTATTCTAAGCAACAAAACTGGTGTGACAACTGATAAGACCAACTCCTTAAGTGTATGCTTCCAAAAGAGATTTTTATAGGCCAGGAATTAGAAAGACGCTTGGTATATATTATGACAGCAGCATTACAGATAGTTCTTATCTGTCTCTTAATCCCCTATCTCTATATAAAAACCATAGAGTCTTGTTCCTGTTGTAAAGGCCTGGAGAGAGAGAGAGAGAGAGAGGCTTGAATGGCTGTGTTAAGGATATTTTCTGTGTACGTTCATCTCATTACAGTGCTTACATTTACTATAGCTGCTGTAGCATTAGCTAGGCTGCAGCCGAGTCAACTCAGTCAAGAGGTGCCATCTGAACAAGAAGCAGACCGAGTCGTTGGACTTCCAGGGCAGCCTCCCGTGGATTTCCAGCAATATGCAGGATATGTTACAGTCAATCAGAGCCATGGAAGAGCACTGTTCTATTGGTTTTTCGAAGCGACACAAAATCCTCAAAAGAAGCCTGTACTTTTGTGGCTTAATGGAGGTAAGTCAGCTCACCCACCAAAGAGATCTATTGCATCTTCATGATTTATGGGTTTTTCTCTTTCTTCGTTCATGATCTTATTAGAAATTTGAACTACCAAATTCATGTTATAATAGTCAGAGCAAAACAATTTCTTTATATACACAAAATAATGTTACATACATTTGATGTCAAGTTTCATGACGATGGAAGTCTATGCACTGAATCGTCTTTTTTTATATTATAATATACCGACCCTCATAAAATTTGTAGTTTTGTTTGCTCTTTTTGTCTACATCTTCGAGGGTAGTTTGCATATGATAGGTCACAATTCCTAACTAAACCTTCAATTCAGCAACATATAGAAGTGTTTGGTTTACACATACACACATATGGAAGTGTTTCGTTCATATATAAATTTCTTAAAATATGTACTGTTCTTTTAGGGAATTAGGTGGAGGTTCTTCTCTTCCACCCTCCTCCATCATCAACCGTATATGCTTACCACCAACAGGCAAGTCTAATCATCATTGTTGCCAACAAATGATTGTGACGTGGCCTACAATAGTTTGTTTCTTTATTTCAAAACCTTCAAATTTTGATATAGGAAAATATTATTTAAATTAAAAATTTGACATAATTTACTGACTTAATGATATGACTTTATTGAAATCATTAGATTAAAACCAAGTTCCAATATTTAATAGAGTTTATAATCAAGCCAAAGATCATAATAAATTAAGTTAACAAATTAAGCCAATAAAATTCCTCTTCCATATATATTAGATAAGAGAGAGTCAACACTTTAGTCAAAACTTTTCTTATTTTTACACATTCTGACTTCATAATTGTGGATGTCTTGAATTTCAACTCAGTAAGTTCTTTGTTGTCATAATCATGTCGGCCCAACAATTATGACATTAAATTATATACGGATGGGAGTGGGGGATGTGGAGGTGGTTTGGGGGGCAGGTGTAGCTTTGGGTGAGAGCTCATTTTGGTCGGGTTCGTCATTATTTCATTTAAATTCCTATTGTTGAGATGTTATATAATTAATCTTAAAAAATCCCGCAAGGGCAATTATGTTTATGTGAGAGACACGTGTCATTTCCATTGCAAAATCTGTGCCAATTTAATGGAATGTCCATATAGACAGAAAATTTAAAAGAAAAATTGGACAATTGACTTGAGACAATATATAGTTGAACGGTTGAGTTGAAATTTGTACTATATTTTAGGGGCCAAATAAATAATTTAATTAAATTTCTTTCAAATTTTAAGCTCCAACTTTTGGCATATTATCCATTGAGCACAATAATAATTTTCATCAAAACCTTGAAAGAACATGTCACATATGATTACAATAAATGATATCAAGCCACACGTGTTAACTTTAAATCTCTCTCATATCAATTTCCATGAAATTGATTAAACTGAATTGATAAAATTTTGAAGCATAATACCTGCACATACAAAACTTAAGAACCAACGTAGAAATCGATTGATATTTTAGAGGTACAATTTTAAAACTGTTGATGTTTTAATAGAATTATTATTCATGCCTTTTATTTATTGTTTTAATCCGAATGTTGATGCTCGCAAATGTTGGCTAAACTCCAACCTACCTGAATGTCACCCGACTTTCTACAGCTTATGCTCTTGGAGTTTTTCTTCTTTTTTTGGGGTGCTTGCTGGCGGAATTTTACACATATCAAAGCGGTGGAAATATTGAGTTAGAGTCTTCGTTTAAACCCATTGGGACTTATCTTTATCCAGTAATTTATATAATGAGTGGGGTTATTCTCACACCACAAATATCTATCTCCACTCTATTTAATTTTTTATTATCAAATTACTAAACTCACCCCTCTCATGCTCACCCCATTAATAACTAAGTCCACCACATGCTATATACACCCATTTAATAAATAAGTCCACCTTATATTTTCTCACAATTAAGATTTCATTCATTATTACATCTCATGCACTCACAAAAGTATTTTTTTCAATATGTATGTCTCTAATGAGATACAAGTTAGTATTACTTCTCGATTTAATTTTGTGTTTGATTTTCGTGTGTTGTGTCAATTTTCATTATTTTTGTTGTATTTTAATATTTCTGTCAAGTTTAATAATGTTTAAATTAGGGTTTGTGTGTGGTGTATTTGTGTGTGCGCACGCGCACGCGCATACACATTCATATCGTTTTAAAAAATGACAATAAAGTCTATTTCAATAAAAAAATTATTTTGTTTGGCAAGCTTGTATCATTTGTGAATTAAAGAGCTTGTTTTATTTTTCTGGTGATAGATTTCTTATTTTGTTTTCTTTATTTCGTCCTTTCTTGATATTTTTTTTGGGTTTTGATAGATTTTTTGTTCATGTTTAATTTTCTCACTTATCAAATAGTTGTCTATAGCATGGGGTGGACTTAGTTACTAATGGAGTGGGTATAAAAATGGTGAATTTAGTAGTTTGACAATAAGAAATTAAATGAAGTGAGAATGAATATGTTTGGGATGGGAATTGCCTCGCCCTTATATAATAGGAGACTGCATATGCTCTAGAGGAATGGGATATGTTATGAAGTTTGGATTTCTCTTGCCTAATGAACATTATTTATAAATTATATACCGATTTAGCACATTTTTGGATTGTGGGCGTATCAATGTCCGATTGGACTTAAAATTCAAACACTTATAATCTTACTTATTTGTACTAGTGTGAGGTTCTAAAATAATAATTATTTAGGCGATTGTAACGAAGTGTAATACTACTTCTAGACTATTTTCGCCGCCTTTGGAATCAGGGAATTAAATTGGGATTAACAACAAGAAGAGTAAATGAAAAATGGAATTGTGCAAACTACTGTACTCTACATTAAACATAAAGAAACAAATACTGGTGTGACAAGCTACAAGGTAAAGGAAATTGGAAAAATAAACTAATGGAGAGGCTAGCTATGTGTATTGTCATGTGTTGATCAAGGGATCTTTCTTTGTAGCCTCACTTTCAATATTTATGTGGGATGACCTCCAATTGTCAAAACCATCTTGTTCGGCCATGACTGCAATCATGGCCACTTCCCCCCCTCCCCGCCCATACTCTTAGACGTGGACTGAACCGTCTCTAATTGGCGACTCATGATATCACGTCTCCTCATTTTTTGCAATTCATGGAGTCCTATTCTCTCAATCGTCTTGTTGTATCAGGACTCTCTCTGACTTTATCTTGACTATTGAAGCTTTGCCACGTTTTGTTTTCAGTTTTTTGATATTTTTAGGTGTAAACATTGCCCCCCCCCACCCAAAAAAAAGAAAAGAAAAAATGATGCGACTAAACGTTTTGCATTCAGAGTGTTGTTTTGGTTCTTTGAATTTAAATTGTTGCTACCTTTGTCTTTTCACGTACCTATCACTCTATTATTGGTTGTAGTACATAAAGTATGTGATTTGGCTTCCATGTGTAGACCCTTGGCCTTCATCTTGTCCTTTCAAATCTACAAGAAATGGCTAACACGTGATCCTTAATTAAGTTTTTTTTTTTGCAACAACAAACACAGCAACTGAACTCATATATAATTTTAGTTTCTATGAATCGAAGTACAATGCTAAATAAAGTGTCTTGATCAACTTGTAACGTTGCTCGACTGGAGTCAAAATCCTTCTTAAATAATAAAAGGCCTATTCTTTGATCAAATTATTATTTTGGGCCAATAAGTAAACAATGGATTCATGTGCGGCTGATAAATACAAAAGTAATGGCCTACCATTTATGGGTGGCATAAGAATTGGTGGTCTTACCAAGTACTCTTTAATTTTTTGAAAGGCCTCCTCCTACTGTGCCTCCAACTTGAAGTCCTCTACGTTTTTCACTTTAGGAGCAGCAAAAATGCATGTACCTTACCCGCACATTTGGCGATGAATCGTCTGAGAAAATTGACATAACCAATCAGGCGTTGTAGCACTTTCTTGTTCTTTCGAGGCGTAACTTCTATGATCACATTTGCCTTATTCTTGTCCACTTCGATCTCTTTCTTATGCACTTTGAACCCCAGAAAATCCCCAGTAGTTACCCCCAAATGCACACTTTAAAGGATTCATCTTCAACCGGTGTACACGCATCCATTCAAAAATGGCTCTCAGAGCAATCAAGTGTTTTTCTATCTCTTGTATCTTGACTATGATGTCGTTAATGTACACATCCACCATCTTGTTGATAATGTCATGGAAAATGGTGTTCATGGCTTTTTAGTATATTGCTTACGTGTTTTTCAGCCTGAAAGACATGACCCTCAATTCAAATGTCCTTATATTGCCCTAGAACACCTAAAGATGGTCTTGTGCCTGTCTTCCTTGGTGACGAAGGTTTGTTGATATCCTGCGTTGACATCCATGAATGGCATGATGACGTTCATGGCCATTGCATCCACTAGCTGATCGACCATGAGCATGACGTATTCATCTTTCAGGGTTCCCGCGTTGAGATTTCAATAATTGGAACAAACCCTGATCTTGCCATTCTTTTTCCTTAATGGCACAATGTTGAATACCCACCTGGATGCATTGGCCTAGAGAAGTTGTTCAATCGCCTCTTTTACCAACACTTCTTGGGACATCAACCTCAGGGCCTATTTGATCGGCCTATATCCATCCATGATGGGTAATTTTTGTTCAACTAAGGCCGGATCCAATCCTGACATCTCTTCATAACTCCATGAAAAAGAATAATAGTACTCTTTCAATAGATGTATGAGCCATTCTTGAAAATTTGGCTCGAGCAATTGGTTAATGAATGTTGGCCTATGCTCATCTAGTCCTCCAAGGTTTACTTCCGATAAGGGATCCTAGACCTCAACGTGTTAGTGAAGCTTGGCATCGTAGGGCCTTATGGCCTGCTTTCTTTGATCATTAGTGCGAACTTCCATCGCCAAACATTTATTCAACGACTTCAATGTCATTTGGCCTTAACATGTTAATGGGTTGAAGGACTTCTTGCTCCACTTGTTGGACCTCTGAATCTCTTAGATCATTGTGAAATACAACTTCTTTGGGTTTTCCATA